AGCAGTGCTTGCATTCCCTGTCCTGAAAAGATTCCCTGCTCACCCCACTAAAGACTATTGGGAACACACCTTTCTCTCCAGGAGGCTTGTAGCTTGAGGTCTGAAATTAACTCAAGGGACAAGGACATTATTTGAGCTCTAAACAAGGTGAAAGAAGGTGCTACCCCCCCCAATAAACAATGCTGAAAAGCTGATAACAACAGATGAGGAGATGGCTGAGGTACTCAACAACTATTTTACCTCAGTCTTCACTGGCAACCTCTCTCCCCACCCCTCCTGGGGGGATGGATGGCAGGATGGGGACCGGGGGAGCAAAGTCCTCCCACTGTAAGAGAAGATCAAGTTCGTGACCATGTGAGTAACCTGAACCTACATAAGTCTGTGGGACCTGACGAGAGGTATCCCAGAGTACTGAGGGAACTGGCTGATGTAGTTGCCAAGCCACTCTCCATGATATTTGCAAAGCCATGGCAGTCAGGTGAAGTCCCAGGTGACTGGAAAAAAAGGAAATATTGTCCCCATCTTTAAAAAGGGTAGAAAAGAGGACCCCGGCAACCTGTCATCCGCATCACTGTGCCTGGGAAGGTCCTGGAACAGATCCTCCAAGAATCTCTGCTAAGGCACATGGAGGACAGGGAGGGGATTCAGGACAGCCAGCACAGCTTCACCAGGGGAACATCCTGCCTGACCAACCTAGCGGCTTTCTATGATGGACTAACTACAACAGTGGATAAGGGAAGAGCTACAGATGTAAATTATCTGCACTTCTGTAAAGCCTTTGACATGGTCCCCCACAACAGAGAGATGGATTTGATGAGTGGACTTTAGGTGCATTAGAAATTGGTTGGACAGTCATATCCAGAGGGTCGTGGTCAATGGCTCAAAGTATTGATGGACATCAGTGACCAGTGGTGTCTCTCAGGGGTCCGTATTGGTACCACTGTCACTGAATATCTTCATTAATGACATAGACAAAGGAATTGAGGGCACTGGCAGCATATTCCTGGAGTTCCAGAGGGATTCATAGAACAGAGCAAGTGAATTGAGATTCTCTGACAAAATTGTCAATGTAATAGATTTCCAAATCCTGTTACTGATTCTTTTGCTGATACTATTCTTGGAATGTTGCTTTTGTGCTGGGGAGAGACAGTGTGGTATTTCTTTTTCAGATTATCAGAGATCCACAGTCCTCTGCAATCCATATGGGGAACACACCAGCTGCACTTATTTAAAACTTTCTCTGAGAGATCATCCTTTATGGGCTCTTATAAAGCAATGATTTCCTCAATTTGCATCAGCATTTAGCAGGTGACAGCAGCCTGATTCAAAAAACAGCATGTCAGAAGAAAATGGCTCCTCTTCTCCACGTATGATAACAAATCTTAAGTCAACAAAGAGTAACTTTCAGTGTCTTATTCAATGTTGTTTTACTCAGGTGCTGATTATCTGCTTGCTCAGTGGACATTCTCAGTCCCAGATTCATCAGGAGAGCTAGTACATGGGACAGATCAGAATTCACTGACAGAGGTGTTATAAGTAACATACCTTGGGATTTATTGTGTAAATTTAAGGAAGTACATGGTTATGTTGATAAAACATTCCTCAGAATGTGTCACACAAGTGCACTGAAGGTGCCTAGGAGTATTTTCGCGGCATTTCACTGTGAGATTAAGTGTTACATGTTTTTCTCCAATTTGTCATTTCCTTTTCTCATATTTTATTTTTCATCCTGATAGTGCCTTCTGAAATTTCTTGGTTGCCTTTTACCTCCACTGGTTCCTTGACCCTGTGCTATTTTCAGTAAGTGCAATCATAGTATCATGTGACTGTGGCCATCATTAAGCTATGCAAACAGGCAGTGAGTGACCTGGCAGCTCAACAGCAGAAGGCCTGATGTCCTTGTGTTTCCTGCTTTACCTCAGTCACTGAGGTTCAGCATTCCCAAGCAGACTTTGCTGGGCAGCTCTTCTTCACACCTGTACCTGTCAGTATTTTGGCTGCTGGTTGATGACTATCAGTATTCTGAGTGAGCAGAACACTCACTGCCCCTTAGAAGTTTCTTCAGGTCTTTAAAGGTGAAGCATAGCACAGATTGAATTTGTTCCATAAGAATAACTAGAAATACTGGGTTTTCCAAATGAGCTGCATTCCTCAGAAAATGGAGCTGATGAGTTTACAAGTTTCCAGACTGGACGGAGGTGAGTGGCAGAATGTCCCTTAGCCCTGCTTCTGTGTGTGTACAGTGAAGATCCTGGTGGGCCTTGATTGAGTTCCCAGTTCCATTTTCACATCCATTTCAGTGGGGCAAATACTGTGATTACTGGTGTGTTTTGAGCGAGGTTAAAGGGAGACCATAAGAGTGACTCCAAGCCCTTCTCCTCAGGGCTTCCGTCATTCCATTCTCTGCCCAGCCTGTATTTGTGCTTGGGATTGCCCCATCACACCTGCAGAACCTTGCATTTGGCCTTGTTGAGGTTCACATGTGCCCACCTCTCAAGCCTGTCAAGGTCCCTGTCTCAAGAACTCTTCCCTCCAGCATGTAAACCACACCACACAGCTCTTGGCCTCACACATTAGCTAAGCTTAACTTTACTCCTTTGGTCTCCAATTCCAAAGTTTTTGTGTATGCTAGCCTGTGTTTCTCCCAGCTTTCCTAGGGAAGTCCAGTAGTGCTGTTACTGTGGCAACCCACACATCTCTTGCATAAAAACAATGGGATTCAATAACTATGTGTATATACCTGTGTCTTCTTGGGCTACCTCGTTTGGTAGCTGTGTTATGACTGGCAGCCTCCTTTTGGATGGATTTGGAGGTTTGTGGAGGCACGTGGGTGAGTCTCTGGGTGTGGTGTATTTATCCCTCTGAGCCAGGCCATGTCAAAGGAGGCCTTGCGTGCACACACCCATCAGTCCCCTAGAGAAGGCTCGCTCTTAGCAGAGGGGCCTTGAAGCAGCTCCCATCCAAGCCTTATAATGACTGTGCAAAACGCAGCACCTCTAGCCTCTGCAAAACCAGCATACCTCTGCAGAAACAGCACCCACACACACATGGGAGAGGCACCAGGAGGGGTCTGAGGGTATATAAACCCATTGTACTTTATGTTTTGTGGGCTTCTTTCCCCCACCATTCCCTGACAGACCAAGACACCAGGGACAATAACCAACTTTGTCAGAGACATCTGGTGGTGAACATAAACTCTTATTTTTTCTCTTTCTTTCAGTCTTTTCCCTTACACCTTTTAACTCTTATTCTCTCTTTCTCTCTTTTCCCTTACCCATTTTCTTGGGTGATATCTTTATGCCTTTAGATTGCCATATAACTGTAAATAATAATCAAAATGGCTACATATCTGTTTTCCTTTGCAACCAAATTGTACTAAAGTAAACCCTATATATACATATATACACATGTATATGTATTATTATATATATATATGTAAACACTGATCATATAGTATCGATTTGCTTCAATTCACCCCAAGGGATTTATTAGCAGAAAAACAAAAGTTACTTCTGCCTTGTGGGGCAGGCCGTAACAGGAGTAGAGGCTGAAATCCAATCTCCCAAATAGTAGCAGGCTTTTTACCCTCAAGTGCTGTCCTGGGTGCCCTTGGTGCCTGGAATAGAGTCATGTCATTGGGAAACATTGTGTTCCTTCCTGTTCCCTGCTTTTCCTTGCTTTATCAATAGCTTGAATAACACAGGCCCCGGGCACAAATAACTCTTTCATTCTGTGTCTTTTCAGGATTCTGAGTGAGAAGCTTCCTTCTTATCCCATAGCTTCATCACTTCTATAAGAGCCTTTGTTGGGATACCTTGCTGAAAGGTTTTGGAAATCCCAGTCGATTATATCAGCTGGATTTCTCTGTCCATGTGCTCATCTATCCTCTCAAAGGTTTCTGGGTTGTTTCCCATATAAGACTGAGTTGAATTTAACAGAATGCTCCCTTTGGAAGGACATAAACTATCTGTCCACAGTTGCCCATACCAACTCTTTCTGTGAGGTGTTACATGTGCTTGATCCAGGGCTCACTGGGAGTTCAGAAGCTGTGGCTGTGGCAGTGAACTCCAGCCCTGGGAGCTCTGCTCCAACAGGTAGTGACTGAAACTGAACATGAGGGCTTTCTACCACTGCTCTCAAGTCCTCATTGTCAGTTTAAATGGATCTCTGCTCAGGCCCAGAATCAAGCTGCCATTTATCTGCCCAGCTTCTTTGTTACAGCTTCTGCACATTGAATGGAAAATCAGTAGTGCAGGCAGGAAATGACAGCTACTAATGAACTGTGTTTCCCTTCCTCTAATGGGATACTGCAAGCTGTCTCTGCTCACTGTCTGCTCTGACCTCTCTTGCCATAAGCAAGTGAGAAAAACTCCAGTCAAGGCCTTGGGTTTCTACACTGTCAGTAGGGAAAGCACCACACTGCACAGCTGGGCTTTCTCACGAGGAAAGAAAGATTCCCCCAGGCAGGGTGGAGTTTCAGAGTAGTGTGCTAGAAACTCAGCTTTTGTAGACATTGATCTGATTTATAGGAATTAAAGGAATTATCATAGAACTGTCACCAACCTTCTCCAGTTTTAGTCCATGGGAATGGTCTTCTAATTAAAATCAAGCAAAAATAGTGGAGATGAAAGAACACCTTCTGTCAGCTTCACAAAAACACATAAACTCTTTTGGTTATCAGCCCTCCACAAGTCTGTCTTGGATAGAGGCCAGCAACAGGAGCAGCTCACACCTGCCAGTTGCACAGCTGGAAGGTGCTGAGGTGCTGTATGGGTGAATATAAGATGTTGTCTGGGATACAACAGTAGGAAGACTGAACTCAGAGGAGTTCAGTCAAGAATTCTTGTCCTTGATTTCTCTTCATGTGATGTTAAATTTCTATTCATAACTCAGTTCCTAAGAAATAAAGAAGGGACAAGTAGTAAGGAACTAGATGACTAAAAGCTGTGTTGTGACATGGGTGAACAGAGGTATTATAAGGCAAGACTGTGATCAAAGACTAATGGTGATACAGATCTAACCTTTAAAACCAGAAACAAATGAAAACATTGCTCATGGTGTTCACAGAAAGGAATCTACAAGTTTTATCATCTACGCATTGAAATGGCTACAAAGACTAATGATTGAAGGAAGTGACAGAGAGTTCACATCTTGTGCAGCCCTCAGATCACTTTGCTGCTTTGTGACATCCTCACTCTTCCTCTTCTATTTTCTTCCCATGCATGTCCCGACTCTTCACTCGGAGCTTGTTGACCTGCGACTCTGCAATGTCAGCCCGTTCCTCAGCTTCCTCCAGCTCGTGCTGGATCTTGCGGAACTTGGAGAGGTTGACATTGGAGAGCTCCTCCTGTGTGGGGAGAGGGAGTTGGTGGTGAGGAGCCCAGGGCAGGGATTTCACTCCTCCTGCACCTGGGCCTTGTGGGACTCCAGCTCTTCCCTGGGGGGAGGAACAAACCTCCATCCCCCTCCCATCACTGCTCACATGTCAGCTCACCCCAACCTCCTCATCCTCCCCTTCCCAGGACCCCTCTGGGAAAAGCATCAGCAGGACTGTGTCATACGTGAGGAACAGCTTTGTCACTCGGATTTGTCACTTGTGCTCTTGTTCTCCCACTACTTGCTGCCTGATTATCAGTGTCACTTATCAGGCTGAGAAAGATCCTGAAGCATTCTGCTGCTGACTATTAGCAGAGATTCAGGAACTTCTCAGTGAGTGGATGTGGCCCCTGGGTTTGTTTGCTCTGATCTCCCATATGAAACAGGCTGTAGAACTTGCCTCAGTTCATCCCTGACTGCAAAGTGCCCAGAGCTCACCAAGGCCTCATGACACAACAGCAAAACAGCGAGGCCAAGGCTGTTGTGTCTTGGGAGTTTCTTTCAAGCCCCTTTCCTGGTGTTCAGCCTCATTCAATGCCTGTGCTGCCCCAATGGAAGGTGGCCCTTGCCCATTCTTCCGGCAATACTTACAGCTTCCTCAGCCTGTCTCTTGTAGGATTTCACCTTCATTTGCAGCTTGTCCACCAGATCCTGCAGCCTGAGAACATTCTTCCTGTCTTCCTCAGACTAGAGGAGATGGTAAGGAGGAAGGAGAATGAATTTCTGGTTCTGCATCACACAGGGTTAAGAAATCCCCTTGAGGATGGTGTGTGCAAAATGAGACTTGCTGTGAGAAAACTCTGTCCAAGCCCAAGGAGGTCTCCAGCCTTACCTGGTAGGTGAGTTCCTTCACCCTCCTCTCGTACTTGCGCACACCCTTCACGGCTTCAGCGCTGCGCTTCTGCTCAGCATCAACCTCCCCTTCCAGCTCCCGCACCTGCAATGAGAAGCCCGTCCCTGCAGCTTCCCTGGGGGTGTCTCTCCAAGAGATGGGGTCACTCATGCACCAACACAGCCCTACTCACCCTGGCCTCCAGCTTCTGGATTTGCTTCTTGCCTCCCTTCAGGGCCAACTGCTCGGCCTCTTCCAGACGGTGCTGCAGGTCCTTCACCGTCTGGTCCAGGTTCTTCTTCATCCTCTCCAGGTGGGCACTGGTGTCCTGCTCCTTCTTCAGCTCTTCTGCCATCATGGCCGCCTGAGCAGAGCAAAAGGTCAAAGCCCTTGTGGGGCTGGAGACATTTTGGGGAGAATACATCGCCATCAGCAATGAAAGGAGCCCCGACTCACATCTGTGATGGCCTTCTTGGCCTTCTCTTCAGCATTGCGGGCCTCCTGGATCATATCCTCCATTTCGCTCTGAATCTGAGAAATGTCTGTCTCCAGCTTCTTCTTGGTGTTGATCAAGCTGGTGTTCTGTGCAACAGGAAAGACAGGAAAGATGCAAGTCTCTTGCATTAAACTGGGCATTGGAGGCTGGCTGGAGGGACAGCACATTTCATCAAGTGTTTACACAGTAATCACTTACAAGGTGCAGGACAATCTCCCTCTTTTTTATCCCTTGTGGATGGGATTAATTTCCAGCAATGCCTGACCTGGGTGTGGAGGAGCTGTGCACGTTCAGTGGCATCCAGGAGCTCCTGCTCAGCCAGTTTCCTTGACCGCTCCGTCTGCTCCAGGGCTGCCCGTAGCTCCTCAACTTCAGCCTGCAGCAGGTTTGCTCTGCGCTCCACCATGGCCACCTGCTCCTTCAGGTCATCCTGGGTCCTGAGAGCATCGTCCAAGTGTAGCTGGGTGTCCTGTAAGAGAG